GAGCTTTTTCAGGGTGTTCATTATTGAATACTCACGGTATTTACCCAGGTTAGATAGACAGAAAAACTGGTAAGGTACTGTAGTGGGGGTGTGGTACCGTCAAAAAAATTTCGACACCCTCGAGCTTATCACACCTAGGCGAATGTTCGTGATAGTAGGTAAACAATCGTAGTTGAACGAAAAGGTCTTAACAACATTTGGCGCCCACGAAAAGAAGCGCTGAATGTAGTCCTGTGAGATTGCCGTAGACCTCAAAGTGAAGGAATGGCCTTTACGATGGGAAATCTACAGTAATTCACAGCGATTCAGTGTACATAACTGACCCCGATCGCATAGTTCTTCTGATCATTTTGGGTCATCGTAACTGACTCATCAGGGGTTTTTTCCCGGCCCCCAGTCGTATGTGTTCAAAGAAGAAAGGGTTGAGAGGGTGAGAAAACGATTAAATAATCTGAGAAATGCATAGCAATGGAATGAAAGGATGGAAGAATAAATAGAAAAATGAACCGGGAAAGACTCACCGAACTTTATTCTCCATGAGTTTGTAGGAGAACTCAATGCAAGATTTAAAATTCAGCTCAAATTCATCAGTTCGAACGAAGACCTTTGGAGAGAATGGACTGATGGAATAGACAGTACCGTTAGTCATCTGATCCGGATATTCAACAAATGACCTGTCCGTGACCGGAGCGGCGATGCTCAGCGAGCTTGTGAGAGCAGCTGCCAAAGCAGCCAGTATAGACGTTAGCATGGGTTGTAGATGACGCGATGAGGTGCTCCGTTTGTTAGCATAGACACCTATGCCGCCGCCGGCGGTTCGTCGCTCCAAGCCTCTATCGCCCGCTTCGAAGCCACGCCCAATGGTGGCGAACCCCGAACCGTCGTGAGATGGTGTACGGCACCATGCGAGTCACCAATCGCAGTACTTATGTCATATCGGAATGACGAAATCAACATGTGATTGTTACGGCCATAGGAATCTTGACAAATGGGCGGATGCCTTTTCACGGTCAAATACTGGGTGCGAAAGAATGCTTTTGTGAAAGGAAGGTACGGACCAAACTCCTCGTCACCTTGGCAGAAGCCAGTGCTTGAGGGAGGGAAGTAGGGAAGAGACGACGGGGGAGGGGGAGGAGAGGGGTTCATTCTGTGAACTCTCCTCCCAACATACTGGACAATGTTGTAAAGTCATATGAACTCCTACCAAGCTGCTGAACTGGTTTGGATACGACGATGTTCACCATTCACTGCCCACTCCTCAGAATTCAGGTCACATCTTGATCGAAATTCAGCCCTAGCGGGATCCCTGCTGCTACCTGGGCCTGCGCCACAGATGCAGCGGTTTTGAGCCAAGCGGATGTGTATACGGGTTAAGAGGGTCGGGCTACTCCTATAAACTGATCTCAACTCTACCCTCGGGAAACAGTTTCGGTCGAAATCTTACCTGAACTTATAGAGGGGGCAATAAAGAGTAAATAGTGTTGGTTCACTTCTCCTGAGACCGTTAGTAAAAATGGGTTAGGGAGGGGGGTATATCCCAAACTCTTCTGTCAATATACAGGACAGTGTTGTGAAGTCATGTGAAATCATGTAAAATTACAAAATCGTACGACTTCGCGGCGCTATTAGCATTCACTGCCCCATTTCTCGAAATTTAGGCCATATTTCGATCGGAATTTAGCCCTAGCTGCTAGTGCCTACGGGCACTGGAGTTTTGAGCAAAGCGGATGTGGTATACGGCTTCAGTGGACCGAGCTAGCCCGGTAGACTAGTTTTTTGAAGATGTTTTGTTATGATAACTGCTGCTTTAGACCGCAGTTCGCGTTCCGAATGTTATCACAAGAATGCTGTTATGGGAAAGAGTCGAACCCCAGGCGGGAGTCGACCCCACCCTTTCCAGTGGACTAATTTCCTGCCAACTCCGCCACCTCCTCTATGGGGAACGATTTCCGGTCCATGTGGCCTGAGTCTGTAGAGAGGTTCAGTAATAGGTGAATATCGCTAAATTTGCTTCTCCTGTGACCGCAGTACGTCGAAATGAGCAATAAGCTAGAGAGAAAAAGGATGTGGGGGGGGGGGCGGACAGGACGATGGGAGAAACGGTTCGGAGCAGATTGATCACTTCTCACTAAAATGCTAGAACTGGTTTCTGTGATTCTGTAAAAAAGGAGCTGGATAGCATGCACTGACAAAAGCTGGATTATCTACCCTGACACAAGAAAGTTGGTTCGAAGGAATTTCCCCGGGGCTCAGGCTGTACGGACCCTTTTTCGGTGGATCACAATCATTTCTTTGCTCCTTTTAACCAGAAGTTGCGTCCAACATTCAGAAAATGGTGAAATTGAAGTTTTTTCTGGGGGGGGGGGGAATTCTCCAAAAAATAAAACTCCGAAGAAAAGGTAGAAGTTGGGAATTTGAGCAAGAAAGATAGTAGATGGGATTGGGACGGGAAATGGGGGGGGGAGGAAGTGGTACCAGAGATGCAATTTTTGAGGGCGCGTATTCTGCAGCAATGTTCTCCGGCGTGCTAATAAGACTGATGTAACTTCGACTTCGTAGGTTTACAGATTTTTGCAGGATTTCACAGATTTACCCGGATGTAGACAGGAGTTTACAGTGTCCCCCCAACGGATTTCTGCCAGAGCCTTCCTGGTGCAAGAATTCCATTGAAGACCCAGATTTTCCTATTTAAATCACAGTGCTCAAATACAGTACAGCACGTCCTAATTTTTGCGGCTGGGTCCAATTAACGAAATGAATTTGTGAATTGCACCACACACGCGTTCTCTCCCGGAGCATTTATTTTTAGGTCATGCCATGGCCGACTAGCGCTCGAAATGACCCTGTACAGGTTTGGCGCTGGTGATAGGAGTGCCCAGGCTTGATAGCCTGATAAGTGTGTTTCGTTACGATCAAGTTCTTGCGCTTTTGATAGCGTAGAACGTGTCTGCAGTTCAGTGCGGCGATTCGTACCATTAGTGCTAATCCCCGCAGTGCAGTCGTCGCCAATCTGCTCATCGCTCTTACGCGGCATTTTGCTCTTTTCCCGTTGTCGATTCATCATGATGAACAGCAAAAGAGAGCCTTTAGGTGGTGGTTTTCAGGAGTTTTACCACCATTTGGCTAGCTGTATCTCGCCCCCCCCCCAATCATATTGGGGATGGGGGGGGGGGGCATAGTCTTTCCAACATTCAATCGGAACGTTCTAGAAGTTATTGTGCCGATTTTCGTCATCAGTTTATCGTTTTCTTCTCAGTTGTTTTCTCGTTTTCCCAACCATATGTTAAATGGAGTTTATCGTCGGCGTTTGATGTTGGGGGAATCGGTTGCTCAGAGATCGATCAATTGATATGTCAGAGATTATTTCATTTTCACATTTCTCCGAAAGTTTTCTTATTGATCGTTTTTCATCACCCAGCCCGTTCCGAAACCCTTCCATCGTCCATCGCTACTTGTTGAACTCCGATTGTTTAATAAATTGTCGAGTTTCATTTAGGAATTTCTATCTACCAGGACTTGTTATAGATTATTATGAGGAATGTTTCCGTGAGAATAACCAGTTTTCCTGTGATGAACTTTTTTGAACGTCCGACAGAAATCACTGTATTGTATTGTGGTGTTAATTATCTTGACAAACCACCCAGTTGTTTGTTCAACGCTCATTAAGGAGGGATACCGAAGATGTTAGGGTCGGATCATCAGGAAAGATGGAATGGCTACAGGGGGGAGGGGGTCATTCGAAGGAATGCTTTTGCAAAACTTAGATTACACTTATCGGCGCTGTTCGGCTTGGAAGGAGCATTCCCGCACTTCGGCTAGTTTCTCCTACTCATTCATTTGAAGGCAGTTGGCACGATGATCTGGTGCTCGGCCTAAAATGCTAGTAGGGCGCTATATAGTGGGGAAATGGCGAAAGAACGGAGTGAAACGGTCAAAACCTGCGAAGAAAGAGCCTCCGTTCTCAGTGACTTGAAATCGATTTTGGACGAGTTTCCTGTAGGCATCTTGCCAATAACCGCTACCGAAGATACGGCTGCATATGTGTACTCATATATCCATGCAGCATCACGGCCGCTTCATACCAATCCCTTCGCTTCATAATTTGCTTAGCAAATGAATCAATACGAGCGTCAGGAACGGTCGTCCATTTGTGGGCGGGCGGGCGTTTGGGTCGGTAGGCTGTGGCTTGATAGAAAAAAAGAAAACGGCAACTAAGCTACTTCTTTGAGTCACCTCCCCCCTCTTAGTCAAGATACTATATAAAATCTTATTAAACTCTTATTATTGATAGGGCCCTTGCAAGGGCGCCTCCCTTGGAAAAGGCATTATGCAGCGCCTGCTCAAGGTCGCGCAATTCCGTCCTACCACGGCGTATTAATCCTACTCGTCTTGGGGGATT